TTTGGTGAGACATTATTCACATAATATTCTTTAGTTTTTAGTCACAATTTCCTTTAGTTCTTTGAACATATTTAAAATATGAATTTAATGTTTCTAGTAAGACTAATGTCTGGGCTTCCTCAGGGATTGTTTCCATTGGTTTCTTTTCTGAGTTTGAGCCATACTTTATTGATTGTTTCGGATGGCTCCTAATTTTTTGTTGAAAACTGAACATTATAAATAACATGTGTCAACTCCACATCAGAACCTTCCCCCTTCCTGAAGCTTGTTGTCATTGTTTGTGTGATTAATGAGTTTTCTGAACTAATTTTGTAAAGCCTGTATTTTGTTGTTGTTGTTGTTGTTGTTGTTATTTGTGGCTATGGAGACTCTGCTTGATTATCTTTGTGTTCAGCTAATGACTGGATGAAGAATTTCTGTAATTGTTGGAAAGCATAAGCCTCACTGTATTTGTTGAAACTTTATGTTCAGGTTGGTCCACACCTCTAAACTTACCTTGTCAGTTAATATCTGTGGCTTAGCCTTCACTTCCTGCATGTGACAACCTCAAGATCAGTCAGAAGTGAGAGCTCAGTGCATTCTCAGGATTTTCTTTAGCATGCACTGCTTTAGGCATGTTTACCACTGCATGCATATGTGTGGCCTTCCAGAGTCTCAGAAATATATGAGGTTTTTCAAAGCCTTTATGGACATAATATTACTCAGTTTTCATTTTAAGCTCTTTAGTTAACATGATATTAGTTCCAAATATTATTAAATGCCTCAGGTCATCGAAAAATTTTAAAAGTGCTTGTATCTGTTTTCAACAACACCCCAAAGGAAAATGCTTCTCCTCTCTCACATTCTCTTTTAGAACTGGTATCTTATGAAAATTTGATGACCTTCACTTATTCATCTGTTTCTCTTTATGACCTTTAACTGCCCAAGAAATATTGAGTGAAATAAACTTTCTATGAGTCAGATCTGTTCTCCATTAAAGCACCAGGCTTCTACCTCTTTTTGGCAACTTCACTTCTCTCCATATCCTGAACCTGCCAGTATAATTATAAAAAAATTACTATGTGTTAAGAAATTATTTGTTTCTTCCAAATATTTCCCACTTACTTTATAGCAATTCCTCTTCTATTTTTATGTCCCAATCAAGAATGCCATATTTTTTCATTTCTCATAATAAATTTAAAAGTTAAAAAATTATTACTGTAATATACCTATTCTCAATGTTATTTACTCCTTATAGGATTAAGTATGGAAAAAGGCAAAACATGGCTTCAAAGAAATTCAATAGAAATTTGTTGCCAAAATGTGTGTGTGTGTGTGTATATATATATATATGTGTGTGTGTGTGTGTGTGTGTGTGTGTGTTCTCTCTAGCTAGATATCTTTAAAAAAACCCTATTTATTTATTTAGTTTCTTAGTTTTTCTAATTCCCTAAACTTCTTAAGAATTCCCTATCTGAAGTCATTAGAGTAGCCAACATATTTATATTCTCTGGATTCAGTTGCGTACCATCATTAAGCATTTCTTTTTTGTTTTGTTTTGTTTTTTGTTTTTGAGACGGCCAGCTCTGCCACTAGGCTGGAGTGCTGTGGTGCGATCTTGGCTGGAGTGCAGTGGTGTGATCTTGGCTCACTGCAACCTCTGTCTCCTGGACTCAAGCAATTCTCCCGCCTCAGCCCCCTGAGTAGTTGGAACTATAGGCATGCACCACCACGTCCAGCTAATTTTTGTATTTTTAGTAGAAACAGGATTTCACCATTTGGCCAGGATCTTCTCAATCTCTTGTCCTCATGATCCGTCTGGCTTTGCCTTCCAAAGTGCCAGGACACAGGTGTGTGCCATTGCACCAGTTCCATTAAACAATTTCAATAGTAGCACAACTTTTCCTTTCATTCATAATTCTAAAACTGTTAGAGGTTTGGTTTTATTGCATCTTCACTTTTCAACTTATCTTTGAAATAAGACATATTAAACAATAAATACAAAAGCAAACAGTGTTTAATATTCCTTTTGTAAGCAAGTATGTCTGAAATGCCTACTACATATGAAATACCTAGCTAGATATGAGAGATGCAGAAACAAACATAATAGTTTTTGAGCAAGGAGTTTTGCAGTTTGAATTTTAAAATATGCATTGCAACTTCAGAAAAAGGAAAATCAAAAGAAGCTGGAGTAAACTGGAGAAACAACATAGTGAGTGAGGATAGAAAATGAGCCAAGCATTAAAGAAGGAGTAGGATTTAAGAAAACAGGGAAATCGGAAAAGCAATAATGCCCCAGAGTAAGATCACGAAGTCAGTCAAATAAATCTCAGAGCATCAAGCCTGACAGACCCAATGTTTCTTTTCTAGAGTAAATGTTGAGAATGTGTAACTACTGCTGTGGGCTTGCTATAAGCTTTTGTGGACTAGTATTCTGTCATTCCTCTGAAATGAATAGGTGGTTGCCCATACATAAAAATCTTTTTTTTTTTTATCAAAAAGAAAAAAAAGAAATCTTTTTTGTTCTCTCAGATTTATTCTTTCTTCCTTGGCTGGCTGGATAAGCTACTATAGATTCTTTATAAATACTTATCACATTCCTTTCCCAGCTCCTTTAAGTAATCTAGAAAATATAAAATTAACTAGAGTGCTTCATGAAAAAAGATTGCTATCAAATCAAAACAATTTGTTTAAGAAAATCTCAGTGCCATTTTGCCAACACAAAGCTATTTGTTTTGAAGAGAATTTTGCATCTTTTTATATTTGTTGATGAGAGGATGGTGAAACAGATGTGTAATATTCTAATATTTTTTCAAACCTTCCTCTTCATATTGCCCACTCCCTAAAATGTTCACTTAGGGCAGTGCAAATTGTATAATAGCATAAAGATGCTTGGTTATGAAGAACCAGTTACTAAGTTCTAAAATGTGCCTATGATTGGGCACTATACATTGCTTTTGAAAGGCTCTGATTAAAAAAAAAGAAGAAGAAGATCAAGAAAATTCAGGCATTCAGGGGAACATTAATATTAACTAATATAAATCTTTATATAGTAGAGGAGAAAGAGGTATTGTGAAATTGTGTTCACTTATACTGTCATTATATACCTGGAATTTCACAGCAAATGGGGATTTGCTTTTATGAAATTGTCTATATGTAGTGTCAGTTGATATTAATAATTATAATAAATATTAACAAATTATTTCTTAATCTAAGAGACATTACTGCATCAACATGCCTACAATCTATGTCTTCATGGTGTGTGACTTTTAGAGTATTCTTATGCACCCATGTGAAAAATGTTTGTCTCTTGATGATTCATGCATTTGAAAATATATAAGGTATTGGCTACTGGTTTATCAATGTAAAGAGTATATGTATTTTTGAAATTGTGGTTAAGTTGAGGGAGACCATCGATAGTTTACATATAAATATTACGGTTCTAGCATCACATTTTTCAGTTAATACTGAAATGGGAAAGGATCCCTTGTCCCCTCGCAGGACATGGCACAGGGGGAATGGCCTGCTTCTTCAGTGTCCCACTGCTCAAATCTCAAGATGAGCATACAGTCTGGCAGGTTGTGGGGCTCCAGCCCCATGGCAGTGCCTAGGGGTGAATGTTTACAGCTCCTGAAGCCCCAGTGAGCTTCTGTTACAGAGTGCTCTCTTAGTTTGCTGGCTATAGGTGGTTGTGTTAACTAGCTCAATTGGAAGCTCTACCTTGTTGCATCAGAGGACGCAGAGGACTTTCTGTATCCCGAGTTCTTGCCTTGCTGTATTGGAAGAATCAGATCACACATAGGTTTGGGGAATGAGTGCAAAGTTTTATTGACTGAAAGTAACTCTCTGCCTATGTGGGAGAGAGAAAGGAGATGGTTTTCCCCTGGAGTTGGGCCACTTGGCAGCCCTGGCTGTCCTCTGACTGTCCCAGCCAAACTTCACCTAGTCCCACAGGTGGATGGCCTGCCAGCATGCTGGCATCTGTTGGCCTGCTCTTCCGCTGGTGTGTGCTCCCTGACCAGATGCTTGTATTTTCTTCCCATGTGTTCCTCACAACATCCAATTGCTGTGTGAGTGTGCCTGCTATGTTCTTGGTTTTTGTTTGTTTGTTTTGAGATGCAGTCTCACTCTGTCCCCAGGCTGGAGTGCAGTGATGGGATCTCAGCTCACTACAACCTCTGCATCCTGGGTTCAAGCAATTCTCCTACCTCAGCCTCCCGAGTAGCTGGGATTACAGGTGGTGCCTACCACTGCCCCCAGCTAAGTTTTGTATTTTTAGTAGAGATGTGGTTTCACCATCTTGGCCAAGATGGTCTCGACCCCTTGACCTTGTGATCTGCCCACCTCGGCCTCCTAAAGTACTGGGATTACAGGCATGAGCCACTGCACTTGGCCAAGTCTTGGGTTTTTTAGGCACAGAATGGAGGCAAAGTCAGCCAGAGTGGTCTTGGGAAATGTAACATTTGGCGTAAAGGCAGGAGTGCCTGTCCTCAGCTAGATCCATGTCCATGGGAGTACAGCCCTGGCCAGGGACCACACCCTCTCTACCCAGCACTTTGTTTCCCACTTCACTGTTATGTATTTAAAGGAACCACACTCTTCCATTCCCAGCACTGCCATATCAATAGTGTCATAAATAAGATTTCAAAGCAGTTTCAGTGCCTTTTTGCATTCTTTTATAGGAATAAGAAATTATAAAATGAGAAATTAATTCCTCAGGTTAAATCTGCTAAAATTTTCAAATATTTTGTTATCACTGGGTATAAATATAATGATAATTTTGGTTTATGCAAAAGAATTACTAGACTTTTAAAAATACCACTGATTTTTCTAAAGTAAGACTAAAGATTTGACTACTTAACCTCATATGTCAAATAAGGAAAAATGTCTTCCACAGAGCAATATGCTTTACAGTAGTCTTTCATATGCATATGTAACTTTGCAAACAATACAACATTAGAAACTTATTAGATTTATATTAAAATGCACTGAATATATTTAAATGCTTATTCTTTATATAGTACCTACATCTATTTATTATAATTTTTATATTTAGAATTTCTGTGTTTTTCAAATGCTGTTTTGGATTTCATTTATCTTTTTTTTGACAATTGTATGCATAAAGAGAAATTTTTTCTTCTTTTATTAGTATACTAGTATTTCATCCAACTAAAATATCATAAAAAGATTTCATATACACTGGTTAATGGATGAAAAAAGAGTGTGTGTACAGTTAGCAAAGAACAGCAATGAGTGAGGAAGAACAGCAGAAATAATAGAAAGAAGTAGCCACAGCAGGAAATTCTTCTTTCTTCACTGACATTCCGTTTGCTCTTTCTCCTTCACACAAATTGTCATTTGTTTACTTAGTTTTTCTCTTCCAGCCCCAACTCATTTATGTTTTCTTTTGCCCCCTTTTAATTTCTCCCTTAATTTCCACATTTGCAAATATTTTTAGTGATTTAAAGTTACATCCAAGTTAATTTATAGAGCATATTTCAATTTATCTCCTGAAATGTAGCCAATTGTTGAAACAAAAATGTTTCCAATTTTTGTTGTGAATATATTCTGAAAGGCCTATCCTCTATCAGAAATTTGTTGGGCCTGCTGCCTATTTATGTGAATAGAGTTTTATTGAAACACAGCCATATCCATTTGTTTATTTATTATGTATGGCTGTTTTTAGCTACAATGGCAGAGTTGAGTACTTGCAAAACAGAGACCATATGGCTCACAAAAGCTAAAATATTTACTATCTGGTCTTTTACAGTAGTAGTTTGCCAGCCCTTGATCTACAGATGCTGGGATTCTAAGGTGTAGAATATCCACACTAATTTCCGTTTTTATATGTCTCCTGTGTGCCCTACATTTTTATTTTCAAGTTACTTAGCAGTTCTCTGCATTCTGCCTTCTGCCTTCACAGGCTAAAACTTTATCACCTATTTTAGAGGAAAAATAAATGAAGCCGTGCTGAACCTACTATCTTAATATTTGCTCTCACCATATCTACAATACAATCTAGGTCTTTATTCATCTTCATCTCTACTGTCTTTCTTCCCATCTTCTAATTTTTTTCTGCTAAGGATAATACTGTACTCTAATTTGCCTGAATTTTCAAACTTTTAATTTCATTTGCATCTTTCCTTAGAAAATGAATTAGTTAATGTTTAAAAGTTTCAAAAGTCTTGACTGGGTATGGTGGTGGCTCACACAACTTGTACTCCCAGCACTTTGGGAGACAGAGGTGGGTGGATAATCTGAGGTCAGGAGTTCAAGACCAGCCTGGACAACATGGAGAAACCCCGTCTCTACTAAAAATACAAAAATTAGCTGGGTGTGGTGGTGCATGCCTATAATCCCACCTACTTGTGGAGCTGAGGCAGGAGAATTGCTTTAACCCAGGAGGTGGAGGTTGAAGTGAGCCAAGACTGCACCACTGCACTCCAGTCTGGGCAACAGAGAAAGACTCCATCTCAAAAAAAAATGATAAATTCAAAAGTCTTTTTAGTCAAGATAGAAAGCATACAATTTGTAAATATTAAGTTTAAAAGTTCTCAATATCTCCTTCTAGCCTTTGACTTTTTTTTTTGTATTCTTTATAACAATTTTCTAAGAATATGGTGAGGTCCTCTATTCTTGTTTCTTAGTCTTCCATTTCTCTGGATAATCTCCAACGTCTTATTACCTGAAACATATCAGGTTTTCAGTAAATGTTTAATGAAATGATGATTTAATTAACAATTTGGTTAATTCAGCAAGTTATTATTTATCTTCCTAGAATTCCATTATACAGACAAGTAATTGTTTTATTAAATCTATAGGTCATCTCTGTTCTCTGTATGCCATTCTCAAGAGAAAAATGCATACCAAAAGTGTAATGTAACGACCAACTCAGTTCAATAAAAGCAATACCTTCAAAGACTGCTTCATCATTCTAGGAAAAATTATTCAGTCTTTCAAATTACCTTCCTTTCCTCAGCCTCCAGTAGGGAACCTTCATGGAGAAAATTGTGTGACTTGAAATCTGAAAGCATAAAGTTGAGATTCTTGTCATGATATCATGAGTTCCTCTGTTCACAGCACAGATTTCTTTTCTCCTCGGTCTCTAAGTGCTCTGCTGAATATAATGCTCAAAATTCCAGTTGATGCCATTTTACATCTGCTTTCTTGCTCTTTGGCTACTCTCTCTTTCTTTGCCTCTTTGTCTCTCTCTCTTTCTCTCTCCCTTCCTTCCTGCGTGTGGGTCTCTCTTTTTTCCTCATAAAATTTTACACCTGTAAAATGAATCTCGCTTTTTATTTTTACTACGCATTATAGATCTATTATAATAATAGGTTGTATTATAGACCAATGACATAATTTTCACTACAAAGTGGGACCCTTTGATACAGGTTTTCTAGAACTGATCCTTGATATTTAAGAGGGAAAAGGGCATGGGCACTTCTCTGTTAGGAGACAGTGATTTATGGCTCTGTTATGTTTCTATATGGTTTGAAAGCATAAGTATTGACTATCTTTTGCCTACATTATGTTTTCAAAGAAATGTGTATAGCAGACAGACTTGGTAGACAGAGATACTATACCCTTCCAGAGCAATATGTAGGCATGTTTGCTATTCATTTTCAAATACCAGGTTCTCTGAACTCGAGATTTCTCTCCAGTAGTGTGACCCAGGACATGTGTAGGTGCCACCTGGCCCCCTTGATATCTCCCTGTAAGAACTGGGGCTTAGATAACTGACATAAGAAAACACTGATACTCTCCGGCTACTCCTATGAATATGAGTAAAATAGTTTAATAGGAGTCTTACATCTTCTATCAGCACTATGAAACAGTGTTAGAGTAACATAGCTTGTGAATTGGTAAAAATCTCAAACCCATGACAGTTTTTTTTTTTTTTTTTTTGAGATGGAGTTCTGCTGTTGTTACCCAGACTGGAGTGCAATGGCACAGTCTCTACTCACCGTAACCTCCACCTCCTGGGTTCAAGCAATTCTCCTGCCTCAGCCTCTTGAGTAGCTGGGACTACACACCACCATGCCCAGCTAATTTTTGTATTTTAGTAGAGATGGGGTTTCACCTTGTTGACCAAGATGGTCTCGATTGCTTGACCTCATGATCCACACGCCTCAGCCTCCCAAAGTGCTGGGATTATAGGCGTGAGCCACCACACCCGGCTGACAGATCTTGATAGATTGTTTCAAAAAGATTGTCTGATTTATATATTTCTCTTTTCAATAGGCAAATATTGCCTCTCTCTCTTTGCATTTCTTTTATAACATATTTAAACCTCTTTCTTTAGACACATACCCCAGAAAAAGAGAAATATTAACCAAGTACTCAAAAATATGAAATATATTACTACATAAATAAATGTCATAATATAGCTCTAATACAAAAATAATACTCATAAGGCCAGCATTATGCTGATAGAAAACTGAGAGAAAGACAGTACAAAAAGAAAACAAAAGAAAATACACAGAGAGAGTAGTATTCTTCATAAACATAGACACAAAATTCTTCTGCAATATATTAGTGAATCAAATCCAGCAAGATACATAGATAGAAATATAGCTATACAGATATATATAGATATAGATATTTACAATTATTAAATGGGGTTTACTCTAGAAATTTAATCATTTTTAGTATTTGAAAATGCATCAATGCAATTAACCTTATTAACACACTAAAAAAGAAAATTATACTTTATATCTATTAATGCAGATAAATTATTTGACTAAAACCAATATTTATTCCTGGCATATAAAAAAACAAACCTTAAGCAAACTGAGAATAAAAGGAACTTCCTCAACCTAATAAAGACATCTAATAAAAACCTAAAGCTAACATAATACTTAATGGTAAAAATCTGAATGCTTTCCTCCCAAAGTTGGAACAAACAGAAGGATGTCACTCTTATATATCATAGTACTTTAAGACCCAACCAGTGCCATAAGACAATAAAAATATAAAAGAATGTGGTTAAGAAAGGATGGAATAAAAGTATCTCAAGAACATATGACATTCTAGCTCACACAGAAAATCCCAAAGAATACACAAAATTATCCTAGAACTGTTAAAGAAACTTAGCAATATCATAGTATATAAAATCAAAATTTAGGTAAAAATTCTATCTTTATGTTAGGTATGAACATGTGATAATAAAAATTGAAAGAAGAATATATTTACAGTTGTTCCAAAGATCAAATTTATAGGTATAAATAGAAAATATAAACAGGTTCTATAGGCTGTAAACTACAAAACACTGATTAACTTTTTTAAAAAGATGTAATTGAAGAGCTATACCATGTTCATAAATTCAAGCTTCAGCTTAGTAAAAACTTTAATTCTCTCCAAATTTATCTGTAGATCAATTCTATTTCTGTCAAAGTTTCAACAAGATCTTTAATGGATATAGACAAGATTATCTTAAAATTTATATGAAATTTAAAAGGAATTGGATAATGTAAACAATTTTGATAGACAATAATTAACTTAGTGCAATAGCGCTACCAGATTTAAAATCTACATCGCTATAGTAGTCCTCAGAGTGTGGTATTGGCAGACAGTTAGCCCTATGGAACAGAAATAAGACCTAGAAATAAAACCATACAAATATATGCAACTAAGTTTAGACAAAGTATCAACAATCATTGGATCTAGGAAGGAAACATTTTTCAATAAATGATAAAATAATTGAATATTAATTGCAAAAAGTGAACCTCATACTTTATACAAATGCCTAATAAAGGTATTAAACTTTTAAAAAATCATAGTAGAGAAAACCTTCATGATTTTTGAATGGGTTAAATATTCTTTAAGACATTAAAGGAAGACCCATAAAAGAGAAACAAATAACTGAAACTTCATTAGAATTAAGAACTTATGGTTGTTGGAAATCTCTGTTTATGAGGTGGAAAGACAAGCGATTGGCTGGGAAAGAATATTTTCAAACATGATATTCAGCAAAAGACTAACCTAATAGTTAGAGATCTCTCTATAGTTGACAGTAAAATGACACAAGAAATACAATTTAAAAGTTGCAAAATTATTGAACACACATTTCACCAAAGAAATTATATGAATGGCATATAAATGCACAAAAAAAGAGTGAAAAATTTGATCACTCATAACAGCTATAATATAAAACAATACAGTCACTCTGAAATTGGTCTGGTGGCTTTGTAAAAATTACACACTTCCCTTATGAGCCAGCAATCACATTCTTGGACATTTATTCTAGAAACAAAATACTTTAACAAAAATGTTGTATATAAATGTTCACCGTGGTATTATTTGTAATAATCAAACACTGGAAACAGTCCAAATGATTTTCAGTGGGTAAACAGTTAAATAAACTGTATTATGTGTGATGGAATACTACTCAACAAGCAAAAGGAACAAAGTATTATACACACAACTCGTTGCATACATCTTAAGGGCATTTTGCTGGGTGCAACAAGTCTTTATTAAAAGTATTACATACTATATAATACAACTTATGTAACATTCTTGAAAATGACAAAACTAAAGCTATGAAGAATGAATAAGTGGTTTCCAGAGATTAGGGAGGAGAAGATGTGATAAGAGGAAGTATGATAGAGTTCCTTTGTAGTGATGTTATAGTACCTTACCTTGAGTATGGTAGTGATTATATTAAAATCTCAATGTGATATGGTATAGAATTATTCCTAAAATATATGAAAAATTACTGTATATACAATTTTTTAATTTCTAAAGGTGATCCATAGTCTAATGAATCTTATTGAGTTAATCAATTTTCTGAATTTGGAAGTGTACTATAATGCTGTAAACTGCCAACATTGTATAACCGGAGTGGTGGCTACACAGGACATTTCTGTCAGATTTTTGTGTCTCCTCATGAGTTTATAATTATTTCAAATTAAAAGATTAAACAATTAAATAGAAAAAGAAAGCAGGGTTTAAATATAACAAAGCCATACATTGTCAGAATGAGAAAAGTAAAACGTACTCCTATCAGGTGTTTATAAGAAATTCAAATATTATAATCTGGGTAATTCAAAAATAAAGGGATATATACCATGCAAAATGAATCAAAAGAAAGTTAGAGTTGTTATATGTACTAATATCACATAAAAATTACTTCAGGAATTAAAATATAATTGAGTGAATTTACATATTGATAAAATGGTCCTAGCTATTAAAACAGTGTTAGAAATGAGACAAAAATATAGGCATATTTTGGAGATATTGTTGGTTTCATTCCAGACTACCACAATAAATTGAATGTCACAATAAAGCAAGTCACACAAATCTTTCTTTCCTAGTGCACATAAAATTTGTGTTTATACTATACAATATTCTATTATGTATGCAGTAGTATTATGTCTAAAAGTGCAATATACATATCTTAATTAAAAAAGACTTTATTGCTAAGAAATGCTAATGATCATTTTCCCTTTTCTTGGAAAACAGCTCATTGTCATATGATTATGAGTTGCAGATGGTATGTTAGGCCATACTACTGTGTCAATAGGTAACTGATTTACACAACTTATGACTAACAGAGGGAAATCCTTTAGTCGCTTCCACAGAGTAGCTAGATATAAGCCTTCAGTGAGTTATAATCCCTTTGCTGGTAGAAAATCTTGCCTCTGTGTTGATGGCTGCTGCTGACGACTTTTCATAGGGCATTAATCCACCCATGAGAGTGGAGCCCTCATAATCCAAATACCACCTATTAGGCTGCATCTTCCAACACTATTGCATTGAGAGTTCAGTTTTCAACACAGAAGTTTGGGGGGACCCATTTAGAACAGAGTAGTGAGCAAGTACACACTTGTCACCAGGGAAGACTTACTCTTACATAGGCAGGATTCCACAGTATGTGCATGGTGAACTCACTGTGATTCACACAGGTTTAAAGAATAATTTTCTAAAATATTATTGGATTTGGAAAGCTCACTTAATTACAGAGTGCATAAGACACTTATGAGTAGCATAGAACAAAATGGCCAGACAGACCAGGCATTAACAATG